TTGCAGATCTATGGGGATATTTCTTGGAAGAATTAACTGAAGGGGAAAGACCCTCCACTAGAATAGGTGGCACCTTCTGTCTGGAGTCTATATATTAAAAGGTCTGATGGACAGAAATACTGCTTTTGCCTGCCTTTGCTGCTTGTGAGGCTGCTGCTGCTGCTGCTGCCAGTGATGATGATGATGATGTTGATGATGATGATGATGATGATGATGATGATGATGATGCCATCCAACCTTTGCTCACATCAGAACCACCTGCTTCTGCCTTCCACCACGATCTGGACACCTGAAGCTCTCCAGGCTCCTTCCCAGCCTTCAGCACCAAACTGGAACTGCTGAGACATTCAGCTACATGGATTGAGCAACTACTGGGATTTCATCCTCTCTACCAAATAGATAGCCATTGTTGGACTACCCAGCACAAAGTGTGTGCCCCAATCTAATCAATCCCCTTTGTTGTCTATATTTATTCTGTAAGTTTCACTAACCCTAGAGAATCTTGACTAACACAGAGACCCTTCCAAGTGGCACATGGTAAGACAGAGATACTATGTTGCATGCTTTGCAAACCATGCATCCTCATGAATAAAGGCTCAGCCATTCAGCTACACCTCATTTGGAACCTGCAGCAGATCCCCAAACATGGCACAACCCATGATCACAGAGGGCTGATCTAACAATGTAGCCTACTATGCAGCCACTGACCACGTGGCTCCATAATTAAAGTGAGCTGTGCCGTCAATGTAAAACCCACACCATATTTGCAGGCCTAGTACAGAAGGAATCAGAGGAGATCACCTATATTTTTATTCTGCACATCCAAATAATATTTTGGTCTATGGAGTTTAAGAAAGTATCTTATTAAAACTAATTTACCTGTTTCATTCTGGCTTCATTTTTTTTTAACATGATTGTTGGATATTTGGATGCAACTGTTGCCCTCCCAAAGTCTCTTCCTTTTGGACACTGTGATTGTTAATATCCCACATTTTAAAGGCTTGGTCATCATCCTATGGTAGGTGGTGGAGTCTTTAGGAGGTATGATCTAATGGGAGAAAGTGAGGACATTGCAGTGTGTCCTTAAAGGAGTATTGTAACTCCTGTCCCTTCCTTCCTCTGTTCCATAAAGTGAGCAGCCACTCTCAGATATACTCTGCCCATAATGCACCATGACACCACAGGACCAAAGCAACAGGATCAAATCACAGACAGCGAGCCAAAATAACCTTTTCTCTTTTCAGTGGATTAGCTCAGGTGTCTTGTTGAAGCAACAGCAGGTAACCAGAACATACATACTCCAGCTCTCAGCCCTGCTCCATCTCCTTTCATAGTGCCATGTGACAAGGGAAGGTCAAGAAAAATGCCTAACTGTAAACAGTTGAAGCTTCACCGGATGCACTGTGGGTGAAGAAGGTGACCTCTCTGTATGTGTCTGTATGTGTCTGTCTGTATGTCTATTGTGTGTGTATATGTCTGTGTGTGTGTGTATGTGTGTGTGTGTGGTGTGTAAGCATGTGTCTGTCCATGTATCTGTGTATGTGTGTCTTTTCTTGTGTATGTGTCTATGTGTCTGTCTGTCTGTATCTATTGTGTTTGTGTGGTGTGTGGTGTGGTGTCTGTGTGTTTGTGATGTGTATTGTGATGTCTTAGAATATGAGCAACAACTGAAACTCTCATGCATCCCTGGACAGATACTGCTTTAGCTTTGCCTGTAGCCATGTCATCTTAAGTGACATGTGTTTCAGCAACTCCACATCAGTTATTAATATTTTAATCAGCCAAGGGCCATCATACTTGCAAATTCCACCTAGGAGCTCACTGGAAGTTGTTCTCCTAAGTTATTTTTCCTAAGGTGTCACTATGTCTCTTTGGCATCATGTAGACAGCACTGCTGAAAGAAGGTTCAACTCTGTAGTGGAGGAGCTTTGTCCTTCTGCACAATTCCCATCTTTCTATCCTGTCTGAAACTGACCTGGCAATCTTGTCCACTCCCAACAGAGAATATTAACATCAAGGGGAATTTTTTCATATTCTATAAAAGGTCAATTTAGAATAAATAGAGAGGGCTTGCAAAATGGCAATTTCATTAAAGATTCTGGATCTTGTCAGGTGTGGTGGGAGAATTCCAAGTTCAAGACCAGCCTAGGAAACTCAGTGCGACTCTTTAAACTTTAACTGGTTAGGAAGCAAGGTAGAGCCAAGGACTCACAACCTTAGGCAACAATGGCAGAGAAGACAGGAGCCATGCAGAAACGCACCCTAGGAATCTGAATCCAGCTGCTGTGTGGTGACCTGCCCGCTGCTCTGAAACTCCATCCATGTCTCAGGTCTTTCCTTACTCCTCCCCACTCCTGACCCTGGCTCTGGGTTTTAAATATGCTAAGGCACTATGGTCTCTTTCACCTTGTACTTTTTATTCATTTACGAAATGATAACCAGCCCTCTTGAGCTTCTCCTCTGGCCCCTTCCCCATACTCAGACCTCTCTCCAATGACTGAGCCCCAGCAGGACACAGTAGTAGTTCTTAATTTTTTTAATTAAATATCCACAAAATTAAAATTACTGTAATTTGCCTTAGTATGTGCTTCATTTTATTAGACTTACTCAAAAGTCTTGGCATTAAAACAAACCTGAAATGAAAGTTTGAAGAAAAACAAGATGTCCAGCTCCATGACCCATGGGACTTCACACAAGCCCCATCCTTGACCCATGACCCTAAGGCACAATGACAACCAAGACCAATGTAGCATCTTGAGGGAAGGGAACAGCTCCACATGCTCAGCTATGGTGGGGGCACACGCATTCTAAGTCATTTTCTGTACGCACTTCCTTCCATCACAGGACAACTTTAGAGAGTGGTCAGTAACAAGAGCAGTCCAGAAATGAAGCTAGCTCAGATAAAACAGCTCTCTACCAGAAACTTAACTGTTAACCAAAGCCAGCCAGCCATAGGATGAAGATTCTTTCCATTTGGTTACTCACTTCCCCCTGAAGGTATATCAGATGCTACCATGGAGTCAAACACCAGGACATTAAATACACTGAAGCCATAGCTTAGACTCTAGCTAACGCAGATGAAGGACTGACTATCATTAAGTAGGCTTTCAATCCTACAAGCCGGGTTTCAGGGCCAGCAAGATGGCTCACTGAGTAAAAAGGCTCACAACCAAGACCAATGACCTGAGTTCAGTGCCAGGAATCACATTGTGAAAGGAGAAAACTGATTCCTGCAAGTTGTCCTCTGGCTTCCACATGCACATAAATAAGTGTAGTTATTTTTAAAGATATAATCTAAAAGCTGTGTCTCCATATTTATTCTACAGTAAAAGAAAGAAAGAAAGAAAGAGAGAGAGAGAGAGAGAGAGAGAGAGAGAGAGAGAGAGAGAGAGAAAGAGAGAGAGAGAGAGAGGAGGGAAGGAAAGAAAGAAAGAAAGAAAGAAAGAAAGAAAGACCAATGTAAAGAGTTAAATATGGAGTGAGTGAGGGAGGGAGGGAGGGAGGGAGGGAGGGAGGGAGGAAGGAAGGAAGGAAGGAAGGAAGGAAGGAAGGAAGGAAGGAAGGAAAAACCGTTAGTTCATCAGAAGAGCCAAATGTAGTAACTACCTTAACATCTAGATAAAATTATGTTTTCTCTAGTGAACTAACAAAAAAGACAACTACATGTTTGGTGTCTACCATGTGTCTGGCATGAAGTATTGTCTGATAAGTCATTATCCCAACAACCTACAAGTACGTACATCATTAGCCTCGGATTGGGATGAATGTGAGGCACTAGCTAGTTCAAACACAGAACAAGTGCAGAAGCCAAACCAGAAAAATCTAACTTAAGAGTCTATTCTAAGTACCACATTCAACTTTCTACTCCTGACATGAGCAGGGCATATGTGTATATGTAATACATTTGTATTTTTATATATAAATATATGTGTATAAGTACTGTAATGTGCTTTAAGTAGGGAGAAATAACTATGAATAGCTGTGTATTATGTGATCTAGACTCAATCCAGTGAATACTACTGAGACATGAGGTGTGGGATGATGTTGCTAAAAGGGAAAATCTGCTCCAGACAGCCAGATACACTAAGTCTAGACACATATGGTCCCCTCCCACCTTTTTAATCATGAAACAGAGAAAGGGATTCCAGATGAATTTAATCTTACTCATCTTTTAAACTTTAAGTCTGGCCATCAAAATATGAGGTTGACAATTGTAATACCCTACTGGCATATATCAGCATAATATGAAAATAAATTGTCTAGTTTTATTTTCATTTGCCTACGGTCCTGTCCAGTTCCTGACTGTTGTTCTTCACAATATGGCTGATATTTTTTTATCACGGTATTTGTTTCATGTGCTGTCCCAGAGTCATCTGTTTCTGAGATTCTTATCTCAAGGATGACTGTCTTTGGGATCTCATTGCTTGGGTGGATATTCTTGGAATGGTGGTCCCAAGGATGACTATTTAGGAGATTCTCATTGCTCAGGTGGTTTCTCTACAAACTGTCCCAAGGATGATTCTTTAGAGGACTCTTGTTCAAATTGTTGTTCTGGAGATGGTGATCCAAAAGATGAGTATACAGGTATCTCTTGCCATTCGAGTTGCTGCTCTGGAAATGATGGTCTCAAGAATAACTGTCCAGGAGTCTCTTGTTCAAGTAGCTGCTCTGGGGATGATGGTTTCAAGGATGACTGTACAGATACCTCTTGTTGCTCAAGTTGTTGCTCTGGGGATGGTGGTCCCAAGGATGACTGCAGAGGTATCTCTTGCTGTTCAAGTTGATGCTCTAGAGGTAATGGTTCCAAGGATGATTGCCTAGGGGATTCCTTTTTCTCAGGTCTTTGTTCTGGAGATGATGTTCCCAAAGATGACTTTACAAAGGATTCTTGTTGCTCATGTCTTTGGTCTTGAGTTAATGATGACTCTTCTAATGATTCTTGTCCCATTGATGGATCTCTTTGAACTTCTGCTTCTGCTTGGGTTTCTGGCAGAGCAGGTGTGGGTTTTTCTTCTAGAATGTCATGTTGTTTTTTCTCTTTTTTTCCAGTAAACAAAATAAGACAAAATCACCAATAAATAGAGTAGCCGTCTAATCACAGACAAACAAATGTTGCTATCATAATATTAAGGATTTAGTAATGACAGTGAAAATTTTCGAATGTAGTATTAAACTTGAAATGCTCTTTTGATTGTATCATCATGTTTGCTCTCATGTATAAACACAATCTGAAGCAAGTATTAAAAGAATAGAATAGATGCCTGAGAAAGGGGGATGAAGGGAATGTCACCAGAGAGTAACTACACACATATAATCCATTTTCATTGAAAATTAACTGTTAAGTTGCCTTATTTTTCTATGAGTCACTGAGACAAGGAAGGTACTTTTATTAAATGAAAAGGAAAAAGATGAAAACACAGGAGAATCTGGAGCCTGTGCTCAACACAAACAAGACAGTCTATAAAGTACATAGAAGAAACCTATGTACACCAGCTCTTCCTGAGAAATTGCATACACCAGAGATAAGCTAACCATAATTGATCTGAGGAAATCAAGACCATCATCCTCTGAAAATAACACAAAAAAAGCCTCTTCATAGAGGAGCCTCACAGAACCTGGAGGATACCAGGTAACCCACATGACATGCATAAAATGTACTATGTTGACCTCTGACCTTCTCATCAAAATCTATTCTCCTTTTTTTTTTTTTTTTTTTTTGGTTTTTTGAGACAGGGTTTCTCTGTGTAGTCCTGGCTGTCCTGGAACTCACTCTGTAGATCAGGCTAACCTCGAACTCAGAAATCCGCCTGCCTCTGCCTCCCAAGTGCTGGGATTAAAGGCGTGCGCCACCACTGCCCAGCCTATTCTCCCTTTCATCTTTAGCTACAACAGCCAAAGCTCAAATCAGAAACCTCAACTCTAGTTTCATCCTAACCCTTTATTTCCACTGTGCCAAGTCTAGACCATGTGCTCTATTCCTAGATACCTGTTGGCCCCTGTATGTCCCTACTGTCTTGGCCCAGGTCTCCTCATCTGATAGAATACTAGGGTTACACCCTAATACTCCTGTCTTCCCTTTGCTATAGAATAATACATAAATTTAGTCAACTATCTTCCTAGTTTAGCATTATCTACAAGACAAAAAATATTATAGCAAATAAGGACCTGGCACCCATGATCAGCTGGCTACCAGATCTGCATCCCCAGCCACCTGCATCTTAGTGGACCAAATGAATAGTTCCAGCCAAAGGAGTGTGAGTCACATCTCATCCCTTCTGGATTGAGAGGGTTAAGTGTTTAATGCAACTTATTCCTGCCTCTGCCTTTCTCTTTGGCATCAAACTCAGAGACTAGGTGCTGATGGGCAACATCATAGCACCAAGGACACGTAAGTCATGAAGGGAAGAGAGAAGCTCAGTAGAGATTCTACCCCACAGTGGGATTTCTGTGGTCATTAAAGAAAGCTCTCCCATGCAGAGTCACTGAGATTTGGAGTTGATATTCCTTACTGCAATTCAACCTTCCTCTGTCACTAACACAAAGGACAAAAGAGCCAAGCCCTGCTTTACCATGTTATGTTCCTTTCCTTCCTCACACACCAGTCTTTGACTCCATGCACACTCAATGAGCCAAACTTCTCAAAATTCACTGTAGCTTTCCCATGAACCTTAATACTCAGATCCATCTGCCACAGTTCCTTCTCCATAGTATCCAACAGGCAAATTCCTGCTGACCATTAACAATTGTCCTTTATACGGGTCTTGTATCTTAGCATCCTTCTTCCCAGTGTCTGGCAGTCCGTCATTGTAACTGGGATCTGTCTCCGGGTATCTACTAAATTTCTCTACCATCCCACTTAGCATAGGCAACTTTCTCCACCAAAGTTGCACCCTGACACATATGAGATCACTCCGAACAGTGGGGATATGTTGTGCTCACACACAGTCCCTCCTCAGTCAGCACATACCCAATCCACAATGAGCAGCTTATACTGGGCTTTATGTTAAAGGGCAGTCATGACACTGGAGTGTCAAAATAGCATTCAAAATAGCCTTGGACAATCCTCACTTCCTTCTCTTGGTTTCAGTGAATTCTCTCTTGGAAATTAGAAAAATAAATGCCTACAGGAACTGTAGGCATAGCTAAAAGCTTGCTGTGAGAATAAAAAAATTAATGCTTATGTCATACAGTTTCCATTGTTATAAAAAGTTAATAGTGACATACATACATGTATACATACATACATATATACATATGTATATATATACACACACACATTGTTATAAAAACTTAAGTAGTGAAAATAAATGTGTGAACTAGAGGTTTAGAAGAAAACATAAAGACTGTCACATGTCATGTATAAGCCAGGTAGAAGTCAGAGCCTAAGGTAGTTGTTCCTGGCCCCTGACTCCTCACTGTCCCCTAGTGAATGCAGTTAAGACTCCACATAAGGGTTGTGGCAGACCCCAGGCATGAGCAACTGAGGCAGGAGAGTTGTATCCTACTCATCATTTTTCTCAAGCATTCAAGTGACATATGGAAGAAACTCAACATATTCAATAAATAAAACATAAAGGAATAAATCATAATCGAACCCAGAAATTCCTTCATTCCATCCACATAGACCCTTTCTGAAGACATATGACATTAGAATGAGCAAAACTCAAAATACAATAAAGGCATAAAAATGTGGCTATATGGATAATATAGTAATATAACAAAAGGAAGATATAAAACAACAGTTTGGCAGAAATGTTCCTGTCGTGTGAAGTTATATAAGAATCCATTTTCAAAATCCTGGCATTCACTTTGTCTTTCAAATTCAACCATAAGTGAGATCAAGGAGTTGTTCTTGGCACTGCCTGCGGTCTACACAGCTTCCTTTCATAATTCAACCTGTCATCTAATAAGCTTCTAACTGTGGCTAAGGCTATCACCTGCAGTACACCAGGGGTACATGCTTATCTGAAGTGTCCTACTTATCACCAGTCTTGGAAGATTTTCTCTAATCTTTTCTTTAATATAGTGTCAGGATAAATGCAGTGAACTTTCAAAATAAATGCACAAAGCAATAACAAGTCTACCTAAACTGAGCTGACCGGCATATAGTGCTAGCAAATGCTAAGTCAAAGAATTCGCTTGTCAAATGACCTAGTGATCATCATTCAGAGGACAGCTTGGCAAACTGCATGCACAGCTAGGAGAGTCCATTTATCTGAACTGGCACAGGTGGCAGAAAAAAGCAGATATGGCTAGCAATAAAGTGACCTCACTGTAGTCACTCAGATAGACAGAGTGGCCCCAAATGCTCCTCTGCCCACACCTTATGTCATGTGCAAACAATCACTCATAGTGCATTCTCTTACCAGGCGTTGGAACCACCTCTTTATTCTTGCAGAAGTTCTTGAGAGATGCTAAAATGAAAAGGAGCACAGATGTTAGTGAACTGAGCAGAGGATTCACTGTGAGCTGTCAGTGGACCACCTATGGCTAAGAGAACCAGTGGAATGCAACCGTCTGGATAGCTTAGAGAGAATTTCAGACTGGTAAAAATGACTCTACTGAAAATATAACCATGCTTCTGTTATGTAGAAATCGATGCTGACATTATCGTTCTTTGGAAAATGGTTGGACGCTGATCTGCCCGCTCTCTTTCTTTAAGAAAAAAGCATATTTTGCTTAAGTTTACTGGCTTTGCTCTCTCCTTCAGCTTCATAGTGCTCCCTCTTTCAGCTTCATACTGCTCCCAATGGCTGGTGGTAGTGATTCCTATCCTGTATTTTTGCAACTCAGGTAGTAGATCCTCTCCAGTAGGACTTTGACCAGAACACACAAAGCTCCTCAGTGGCTAATCTTGGAATCCTGGATCACAGATAACAATAAAAGAATATTTACACTAATATGAAGAACACTAAAACGAGCCCCATGCAACTAATATTAGCTCTCCCAGGGAAACACACTTACCCACACAAGTATGACACGTATCCAATACTACTTCTCTGAAGACCTGCCGCAGGTAAGCAGTCCAACCAACAAGCCTGGTTTGATTTCAAGTATACTGTGAAGTTTGCAAGAGGCTCTTGCCCTACCTCCCAGCTAAAATATTTGCTATATTCAAGGGTCCCCGTGTCTCCACATCAGTGTCAGCACAACTAGCATGGGAACATTTTTGTTAAGAAGCACTCCAGTTCTGATGAACTAAGAATTAGACCCAGGCTGTTCTGAAGACCTGAAAGTCATGGGCCTGCCCAGTTTCAGAGCTTATTGTCACTGAAGGCAGGAACTACAAGAGTCCATGAAAGGACTGGCTGCCGAGATCACACTGCCCAGAGAAGAAGCTGGTGGATCTGAAAATGGGAGCAGAGATGCAAAATCAAGAACTTCAAGTCTGAAGAGAAGGCCAGTTTTCATTAGAGCCATGAGGTTTCAAAGGCCACCGTGAATTAGCTGGCAGAAGGTCAGCAGAACATCTTCATTCACAGAGAAGTCCAGTTGCTGTACCAGCTGTAAGCTCTGTGGGACTGAGGGGTGGCTCAGTCTGTAGAGTGCTTGCTCAGCATGCACCAAGGACTAGGTTACACCCCAAGCTTCACACAAACTAGGCATGATGGTACATGTCTGTAATCCCAGCACTGGACAGGCGGAGGCTGGAGGAACCTAGTTCAACGTCACTCTCAGCTCTGTGTCAAATTTAAGGCCAGTCTGGGACACGTGAGACCCGTCTCAAAAACAACAAAACTTGTTCCTGCGTACATATAGTTTTGCAATGCTAAAACAACAACGGTTCAACAGCCCGTGACTCGAGATGTTAGCTGCGATTTGTGAAAATAAATCCATTCTTTGATTTAAGACGTGACTAGTGTATAAAAACATCGAAGCCCCAAGTTAGAAAGCATTTAATTTTTGGCTGTCGGAGCTGTTACCTAGGTAATTGATTCTCTGTAGCTAGACCAGCCCTTAAATTTTTCGGCAAAGGCATTTCCCAAGTCCTTTAGGAATCACAGTTAAATCAGAAAGTACTTTGGACTCAGTAAATCACTGTCAGTGTCAAGAAAGTATTCCCAATCAGTAGTAGCTAGCTCTGTAGTGACAAGTTCATCTTGCGGCTCTCTGGCAACCACCCCGATTGTCTAGATACAAAATCCATTTACTGAGGGTCAACTTACACAAGTATAGTGCACAGAAGTCATGACGGTCACTGTGAGAGGTCAGACTCGGCCTTAGGTAGGGGTCCAAAAATGTTCAGAAACACTTTGGATTTTGGAAATTGGGATAAGGAATACTCAATCTGTGTTCAGAAATTATCAAGCTTAAAGAGAAATGAAGAGTGAGACAGGTGGGGTGGCAGGCACAAAAGCATCAGCCTTCTTGACAGAGTCGTCCAGCCCTGCAGAGCTGCTCTCTCAGCACACGATCCCTCCTGACGTTCGTGTGCGGCTTTGTGTTCTATTTTTCATTCTGACTTTAAAGGTGTCCTGTTGTCTTTCATCTCTCTTTTTATCGTCAGCTACCTTAAATTCTCTGTCAACAGAACAACAGCCCTTATAATTATGGGAGAGAGAGAGAGAGAGAGAGAGAGAGAGAGAGAGAGAGAGAGAATGAATACCATGATACAGGATCCATTTGTCCTGTTGGAAAATGTTCAGAAAAAGCAAAGTCAAGCTCTCTGCATTTCTCAGGCCAGTGAATGCTTGCAAGCGATGCCACAGACCTGGAGTGGCTAGCCTCCACAGTATTCTAACAGCACACACAGAGAAGTACTTCCTCTGCCTTGGGGGAGAAACACGTGGACTCATGGAAAGAAAACATGTTTCTGGTTCATGTGGCTTTGGAAAAGTCATCCACCTGAGTTAATGCAAACCCAAACTTAACCAATAACTGCCAGGACAGCTATCACCCTCAGAGTGTGACTATCACTCTTGACATTGTGTACCACCCACCATGAGCAGCCAGCACACCCTCCCAGCCACTTTCCCCACTGCTCACCACGTGCACAGCCAGCTCCACCCCCTCCCAGCCCCTTCCTCACTGGGATCCTTCCTGTTGTATGTTATGGCCCTCCACTCTGCCTGTATTACTTACTGTTTTAGGTGTCTCCAATACCCTCTTTCTCTTCCAACTACGCATTCCCAGGAACCTTAAAGACTGAGCATTAATTTCTCAGTTTTATAGAGGAAAAAATAAAAGCACAGGGAGCTAAGACTTATAGCAACTTCAGTTTTCCATAAGTCCAAGAAGTTTGAGCAAAACAGCCACAGAGCCTGACCAACAGACACCAGTGCTGGGCAGACCAAAAGATGGCTGTAACAAGTCCTCTGTTCACATTTGCCAGAAAGGGGAATTTTAAAGAGACTGATTACCAAGTGGAAGGTGGCAGTCCAGAAAGGCTACATGCTTCAGGATTCCAACCACATGGTGGCCTCACAAGCATACGTGCCCAAGTTCAGATCTTCAGCACCGACGTAAGCCAGCAGTTGCAGCATGCATCTGTTAATCTTTCACTGAGAAGTCGGAGGCAGGAGGATGCCTGCAACTTTGACCAGTCAGTCTAACTAAATCAATGAGCTCCAGATTCAGGGGGAAAAGAGAAGGTCTGATAAAATGGCTTGACAGATTAAGGTGCTCACTACCACATTTGAAGACCTGAGTTCAATTCCCCAGGACCTACTTGATAGAAAGAACTGACTCCTCCAAGCTGTCCTCCAACCTCCACATGCCCTGTGACACAGATGTGCCCACATACACACAACAGTCACACATGATAGATAAATAAATAAGGCAGAGAGTGACTTACAGCGACACCTGAGAGTGCCCTGTGATCTCCACACAGCTAAGCACCCATATGCACGTGTGGACATTCACAAGAACTCTGCTTAGCTCACACAGGACTTGGCAGGACTGGAACTTGGAATCATGGTACCTGAAAGCTATCCACATCCTAGCCCCAGAGTCCATGGGTATGTTAGCTTATGTTACACATTAGGGCTGCAGAGGGGATTAAGGCAGCGATAGACAGGAAACATTCCCTCAGAATATCCACATGTGTTCAGCACAATCCCATGGTCCCTTGAGATAGAAGAGAAGAATCAGAAGGAATGGGAACACAAAGGAAGAACTAGAGAAAGGAGTCTGGCTTTGAAAAGGGAGAAAAGATCTACAAACGAAAAATACAAACTGGGAACTGGAAAAGGCATGAAAACAGATTTTCCTTGGACAGAAATACAGGTTGTTAGCCCATGAGACCATGTCAAACCTCTAATCTACAGAACTATAAGATGGTTATTAAGTTTTTGTTACAAAAACTAAATACTACAGACATCTTTTGCCACCCCTCAGAACCTCAGCATGAGGATGTCCATACTGCTCACTGGGGGAGAAGACCTCCCCAGGCAGGCTCTTCCATCCTGACCTCTGCAGACAGATGCAGAGTCACAGAGCCAACGACATGTGGATAATGCAGGGACCAAGATTGAAAACAAATCTGAGGACGATGATCAAAATCCAGGCATGCAATACATGTGAACTGAATGCAAATAAAGGGTTTGAAATGTGAAGTGCTAGCCAGGGGTTGGCCTCACTGTGTGCTGCCAGGGGAGGGACTATAAGTTTGATATCCTAAGAATCTCAGAGCATGCAAAGCCAGTAGAGATGCCGTCTCAGGGAGAACTTAAGGAAGTGCTTCCAATTAGGAGAGAAATTGTGAAGGAGCTGGAAGGCCTAGCTCTGGGATCTTGATGCTCCTAATCTGAACCCGAGTCCTATCATAGTGCCAAAAAAACATGCTAGAGTCCTCCTCAGAAACACATGACAATTTATTGTGCTGTAAGCGCTGTTTCTATGAAATTTACTGCTAGGAAATTCAAGCAAAGAATACAAGTCGGGAGATAAGAGTACACTCTAGCATCGTTCAGGAGTGGCGAGAGTGTTGACCTTAGTGTTTGGTTGACACACAGTAACCATCAAATGTCCAAGAGGACCAGTCAAAAGCAAATACACAGAATCAGCTGAAAATGAATGAGAAGCTGGATAAAGGTCACCCCAGTACAAAAGAGCCTCACCCAAGGCTACACAGACACATGCACAGGTCCAAAAGGAGAAAGAAAAGGGTGGAGAAGGACTGCTCCCCCACCCTGCATCTGATTGTCTTTAGGTGGGTGCCAGAAAGGTGAAATGAAATGGCTTGGTTTTGTTGCACGGCACTGAAGGAGGGAAGCTGCTACCTGAAAGAACCGTCGCCCACTGGGATTCCCACTGCATATAGCTTCCTTAAACTAGGTAGAGACATTTAGGGTCTCAGTACTTAGATTAACTTTTCGCTTTCCTCTCTCAACTCCCAAGCATATTTTAATTTAATTTCTTATGTGTGTATGTGTTTTTGCCTGCAGGTATGTCTGTGCACCACCTGTGTGCCTGG